ATTGTTACTTGTGTTATGTTTTCTTGTTGTTACGGTGCTTTTTCGGAATTTGTGCTATTTCCCTTCGAGTAACGGCTGGGTGTGTCACTGAGATTCCCCTGAAAACGTTACTCACAGAATACCTTGCTCAGCATTTCAAAATTGTGCCATTGTATATTTTGCCGTTGCTTCGGTATGTATTTGTGTGTGTGTGTGTGTGTGTGTGTGTGTGTGTGTGTGTGTGTGTGTGTGTGTGTGTGTGTGTGTGCGCGCACATGTGTATAATATGTGAGTGAGTAAGTATATAATGATATACAAGCGAACGTTTACATGTATGTGTGGATGTTTGTGTGTAATGGGAAGTTTGTGTATACTATAGTATGTGTGTGAATATGGGAGCGGGATGACAGGAGGTGCAGTTTTGGGTAGAAAAAAGGGGTGGGGTGTAAAAATAAATTTGAAAGAGCCAGAGATTTTGTTCTGTAATTATAATTATATAGCAAATACTGTGACAACGAAGATTTAATTAATTATGACTGGTATAGTTATAATCTCTTTCAAACTTGTCTTCGAATTTGGACTGAATATCAGAAAACAAAGGTGGATTAAAAGGCTATAACTTGCCGTGTTTCGTTTTTCCTTTTGTGACTCTCGTTCTTGAATTTGTGTTACATGCAATGCTGTGCTTTTTGCGTGTTAATGTTGATAAATTTGGTTGTTAAAATTATGGATGCGGGAGGAAAGATGGTGATGTCGAGAATGAAGAAGTTAAGAGGGGGTGGAGGGTGAGAAAAAAAGGGAGGAGATGAAGGCTAATGGAAAGGAGGTGAAGACGAGGCGCATGAGAAGAAAAGGAAAAGGCAGAGAGAAGATGTGGAAAAAGAAAAGAAAAAAATGAGAATTCTTTCGTACTGTGAGGGGGTTTTTGGAAGTCTGCGCAATAGAGTCAAATGTTAGAATTGTTGAATACCTTGATTGATATCAATTACCAGACAAAGGAGCCAACATTTTGGAGGTTTCATCTCCCCACTCCCTGAACCTCTTCCCCACCCCCACCCCCGTCCCTCAAGCTAGATAAGACATGCATTTATAAGGCAGTAAACAAATTATGCTTTAAGTCTAACATTGCCAGAACAGTGACTTCATGTATGTTCATGTTACCCCTGGGCTATTACTATTATGTTCATTACATTGATCAAAGCATTAGTTTGTCATTGCTGGGCTTTTCCTACCCGTCTCATTAAGCAGGTAGGAAACGAGGGCATCTACGCAACACTCTGAGGCCTAAAATAAACTGGACATGTCTAGAAATGAACACTGTAGCTCAAATGGTTCAAAACTTGCCCAAGACCTGAAACTTGCAGGTTATGGTTGTACTCGAAGAAGGAGAAGGAGAAGTAGAAGAAGAAGAAGAAGAAAAAGAAGAAGAAGAAGAAGAAGAAGAAGAAGAAAAAGAAGAAGAAGAAGAAGAAGAAGAAGAAGAAGAAGAAGAAGAAGAAGAATTGCATTTGCACAGTGCATTTCCACGCTCTGCAGCATGTTCTATGCACTTTACAACTGTTTTTACCCCTGTAGACCCTAGAAACATTCTCAGGTTCCTGTGAAGCATACCGTGCACGCTGCGCACTTCACGCGCGTAAACACTGACAAGACGTTTACCGTCTATAGCCGGGTATCTATTTCCACGTGGGTGAAGTGAGGAAAAATTCGTGTTAAGTGCCTTTCCCAAAGACATAGCGTCGGGCCCCGAAGGAAAAAAAATAACATCAACATCCGTTTTGAGACATGCCAAGTGACTTGACCACTTTATTAGAGAAAGGAAACAAACAGTTTATACATGTAGACGACGACATTTAGTTGAACATATTCATATTTATCGGGATACGAATAGTTAGCTATACGTTACAAGAGATTGAGAATGAATAATATTATTTGACTAATGGGTGTAGGCATACACCTCTTGACGCATGCCAGTGACGCGAGCACAGGTCGGAGATAGGGTATCGCCAAGGAAGACAATAAACCCTGTTCAAGGCCATCAATAATCTGATCTGATGGTAAGAGGAGACATTATGCACAACTCTTGACACCACTTGTTATGAAATCGCGATCTTGGTTATTACTTCAACTTTACGCAATTATGGAACATTGCCTCTTTACTGATGTAAATTCCCAACATGTGTTTAATTGTAGCCGCCAACCAGCATTCGTCACGCTCACCGAACAAAGGTGTTATGACGGACCCGCAGGACAACTTACAGTTCTTCTGGAAACCAGACAGTTGGGCTATGGTCTCGGTCATGCTTAAGACGGGGGTTTAGTCCATCTTCAATTAAGCTCACAGTCCAAACCAAACTGCAATCTGAGGACGTGATAAACTCACCTTGAAATGGTGATATAATCAACCCACATTGCAACCTTGTGAAGCAAGAAGCTACACTCTGATATTCTGGGGTTTACTCCCCCCCCCCAAGACAGATTACAGCTAGTCTTCAAAAGAGCAGGCTGACATGGTATCCACCAGCCCTCACCAGTATGACACCTTTATCATACTTAACTGCACAGGAACGCGGAAGAGAGCTCTATGCGTGTAGTTTGTAAGTGGGTAGAGATAATGTGCAGAAATGCATGTCCATCAACCAAACCACATATTTTTGCAAGACAAGAACACTTGACATGGTATATGCTTTAATCAGAGAGAATTGACAAATCATGTCTACAGAGGACAGGGCACGAGCTTAACATAATGAAATATAGAGAAGTCATTAATTATTCTTGTTTACAGAAGTTGAGGACACTTTACTTAGTTTAAATAACACGGACGTTTGAGTATGAGATGGCGGAGCAACACATGGAAAGGCAGGAGGTTGAAAGATTTTATTATGAACCTACTACGACTGAACTTACATACTACGTGACTGACAAGGACTATTTTAAAACAGAGTTCGTTTCTTTTGTTGCTATCGGCGGTGCAACTATTGTTTGCTGCGGGTGTTGTTGTTATTGTTCTTGTGTTGAATTGATGAATATGTTTTTGTCTAATTCTTGCTTACAAGTTTTCATGTAACTGTATATTTGGTTGTGCCGGTAGTTGCTATTATTTTGCTATTTTTACTTATTTTTGTTCTGCTATCTGTGTCGTCTAAATTTGTGTTGTTGTTTGTTCTTTCTTCAACAGCGATGCAGCACGAAGAGAGCCAGTCTGCTGTCTTGCGCCAACTCTCTTGATAGGAAATATCTTAGTCTGCCCTAAGTGGAAGTCTGCTTAACTTCCATTGCGTCATAAAATTTAAGCACACCGAGTGAGTGAGGATGGGAGACAGAGAGACAGAGAGAGAGAGAGAGAGAGAGAGAGAGAGAGAGAGAGAGAGAGAGAGAGAGAGAGAGAGAGAGAGAAGAGAGAGAGAGAGAGAAAAAAGAGAGAAAAAGAGAAGGGGTGAGAGAAAGAGAGAAAGAAGAAGGATATGAGAGACAGACAGACAGACAGACAGACAGACAGACAGACAGACAGACAGACAGACAGACAGACAGACAGACAGACAGACAGACAGACAGACAGACAGACAGACAGACAGACAGACAGACAGACAAACAGCTAGAAAAATCAAAAGAGAGAAATGGAAAAGAGAAGTGAGAAACCGACAAATAAGTAGACACACTGTTTGAACAACAACAACTCAGAGGTTCACAGCCAATAGGCCCAAAAGGCAGAGAGATAAAAGGTTAAAATTCATCCAGTATCAAAAAATTTACAGTAAGGCACTGTTGGTTAATATGCTTCATAATGAATTCTATTTAATACCATTTGTATTATTTCCATTACCAGTTTAGATAGTGTAATACGTTCTTGAAATATGAGCTGAGCGAATTACAAATATCGTATTTAGCCCAAAATATTGACTTCCCATTGGGTTTACAAATTATATACAAAACTAAGAGCAAATACTGAGGGTTTTTAGCTAAATGTGATGTGTTTAGTGTAGTTAAATGTCTATGGAGGTCTCGATCAACTCACGCAGGTTGCCTACTAGCAAGGAAACACACGCAGAGCATTTAGATTCTAATAAGAGACATTTTCATCAACCCCAAATGTCATTTTCCATAAGGAAAAGTCAACAGTGTCTGTTTCATTTTAGAGTTCAACTTGGTAGATTAGGGTCATATCATGTCGTTACTAAAGTGGTGAAGACAATATCATAACACAAGATAATACAAACCACGACTAAGAACTCCGACATCCATGTACAATACAAAAAGCAATATAAAATTAAACTAAACTGATTTTTGGGAACTCATGATAAGTATAGAGTGGATTGAGGTAACTGAAAACTTTCAAGGAAATCCTAAATCCACATGAAGTCTTGGTTTAAGGTAAGCAGACATGATCTGATGACAGATACAGAGCCTGGTACTTAGCCGCAGACAAAGCCTCTAAGAAAAAACAGAGACGGAACAAAGAACAATGAATACTAAGTCTTAATCCTTGCAATGATGGCTATTATGATGCCTTTAGAGGCTTATAAGGTCTAAAACAAATCACTACATGTTGTTTACAATGGAAAAGCATTGACATTGGGGCCAAAAATGAAAGGGGGAAAGTTTTAAAACTGTAAAGTCAACACACGTATAACGGACAATAAATGACAGTACAGTCAGGACAACAGAATAATTTAGACATAAAGACAAATGTGAGCTACTTTATGAAAAAAACACTACCTTGAAAGTCGACTACAATTATAAAAACCGCTTTTTCAAATAAAGTGTTATAAATATCGAAAGTATTGCACGTTTCCATGTCACTGGAAAAGCAGGAACAAGTAGCAAATTGGCTGGTAGGGGCAGCAGATCACTGCGTATTATTACTATAAGTGGAGATCTTTCTAGTTTCTTTTGGCTCCAAGGCTGAAAAAGGCACTTTCAGGAAGGCAAAACAACCTAGCCTGGCAAGTGTGAAGATTTTGAAACTTTTGTAAGGATTAAACGTGTTCAAACAAGGTTCGCATCTGAGAAAACGTGGATGTTATAGATTAGCACATTGGTGACTAACGTCATAAAATATCACAATTTGTTATTCTTCTTTCGATTGTTTTTAAAAAGCATGTGTTCATGGATGAAAATTCATTAACTTGAACACGTCAGCTATGTGGATTCACAAACCAAATAAACATGTCTTTCCAAGACAAAAGAGGGAAGAGAATGGGTGCTGGTTGAGGAGTTGGGTGCACAGTATGTCAAATGGCATAAGCACCACTATATATAAATCAATTCAGCAAGTGTATTATTTCATGAACAATTCCGGTCAAATGCAGCTCACGTAGTTTATTTACTCCAAAGTGGCATTTTGATATTAACAGCGATAGAATCAGTCCTATTCGTTAGTTTGTATTGTTTTGTCAGGTTTTGTTTTCTACTTTGATGTGAAAATTTCGGGAGAGCAAGATAGTTTTTCCTCACCGTCCACTTCTTTTGAAGCTCCTGCTAAAGCGGCCTTCAATAAGACTGGGACAAGGACATATTTGACACATATTTAGGGGGGGGGGGATATCAAGGACCCGAATAAAGGACAAAATAGACCTGGCACGAATATATTTTGCTTCGGAGAAAAAATAGTTGGGGAGGGACCCTGGGTGGGGGAGTTTAGTCACGTCTGGATGGAATCGGGCGCTAGTCAATTTTTGGGGGAATTTAGAGTTATTAGTATAACCTAAAAGTTTGTTCATTTGTCTTGCTTTTTGGGGGGGAAAATCCCATCTACCTTGAATAGCACTTGCGATGGGGGTCGCCTGACATCAGAGGTAAAATTAGCAAGAAAATGACCGCCAAAATTTGACTTCCAAAGTTTGAGTGTCCTTGAAAACTTTTAGTTTACATTTTTTTCGTGCCTTTGATCAATGCTTTCCAGAAATGCGTGTTTCAATAGACATAAAAGGTGTTGAGCTAAATCTTTAAAAAGAAGTTGCTGAAAATTGCCGAACAGGCGGAAACGGGCTTGTTTCTTCAATTTCAATTATTTGACAAGAGCCTGATTTCACCACGACGCCACCAGCATTTATTTAGCCTAGGATGCTACTTATTCCGCGTTTCGCAGACGACATTCTCCAGAAGACGGTGTGTGCGCGCGGGAACGGAGCGACGTCTACAAGATGGAGCAGCACAGGATTCCTCCGGGCCCGTTGTCCTTCAACTTGCTGTCTTTTCCGTCTGCTGATGCCTCCGCTTCGGCCCCGCCCTCTTTACCGTCTTTGGAGATGAGCGGAGATTTCTCCGACTTCTTCTCCACTGCTGTTCCGTCGGATGGGGCGCCCTGTGGACAAATTGTTGTTCAGCAAAAAGAAATGAGTAAACAAGAAAAAGGGTGGAGTCAACTGTGTTTGATGGGGGAAACCGGAACAATAATTACGTTCTCAACACATTCTTACATAGGCCCATACGCGCGCACTCTCACACACACGCATACACACATTCACCAACACACACACACACACACACACACACACACACACACACACACACACACACACACATGCGGACACACACGCACACACAGCGCAAAGTGGGCGTCTTATCACTTAAATCGTAGGAGCATTCACTTCACTGCAATGCACTTTTTATGAAATCTGAAAAGTTAAAATGTGTACCTTTCTAACAAATGTTGGCGTAGTTCAAAAGAGGTGTCTATAGATAGATGACAGGATGTTCCTAAAGAAACACTACACTTTAGGTTTACAGATATTGCAACTAATTCAAAACCGGACTTGTGCAAATGTACTACATGCACACCGAAAGTGCACAACTATTCCTTATCTGTTCACAAACAAACATGGCTTTTGTCCAAACAACTGATTAACTTATTTTCGTGTACAAACATCACAGTCTAAACACTACACACCCCATATCAATGGCATGCACGGGTTAGACGGGGTAAGGGTCCACCCAGGCTGAATTCTAACGAGCATCATCAATCGCTCTTTGTGAACGATCAACGGACGTTTGTCAACGATAAACATCGCAAGGCTATGAAACTCATTGGCTCTGACAGTCACACAAAATGCTGTACATATTGTTATCTCATCCCTTTCTTCCGTCGTGTTTGGTTTTGTTTCTTTACTAAAGAATACCCTGTGTTATTTATCTCTACATGCACGTCATGTGTGCTATGTCCTTATTTTTACACTGACACATTTGATATCTTCCTTATCACGACTTCTAATGTGACTGCGACACAACATCCTGGGGTCAAAGGTATTGTTGACGTACGCCTGTTGGAACACTTGTCCGGTTCTTTAATAACGCCCAAATGTTCCTACACAGAAGCTCAGGTTTTTTTTATATTTTACTTGGGAAACTTGATCTGGTAGAAAGAGCTGAAAAAAATGACTGATGGAAGACAGAAAAGATATTGCTAGGACGTTTAATCACTCTCAGCCGGATTGACACAGATGGGCGTAGTCAAGACCAACTATAAAATGATCTAAATAGTGTCCTTTTTGGAGGGGCGGGGGAGGGGGTGGGAGGACGTAA